GAAAGTGAGATCGGAAGAAGATATGCAAATTCCCACAGGATTTGCATATCCTCTTTCAAAAATAGAACATAGTATATTAGTGTATTAGGATTAGTTGCTGTATTTTGTTTATTTTGCTTTAGTGACTTACTTTGATTTGTTTTCATTTGCAAGCACTTAAATCCTACTTTTTATACTTAATAAAAACATTCTGTTTATTATCAAGCTCAGTGTAAATAATTTTTACCTAGGGAGAGAGCATCCACTATGCATCTCTCTCTTGCATTGATAGAAGGTGAACTTATATAAGTTTGCTCTGTATAAAAGTTTTATACAGAGCAAGACAGTTTTATTTATTTATTTATTTAAAGACAGTTTTGGTCCCCTTCTGGGGCTATGTACCTGGGTGTTGTCAATGGCCTTTTAGCTGAGGCCTCCCAGAGCTGAGCTGGTTCAGAACCTCTGTTGCTCTTCTGGGGGGCTGTTACTCCAACTCTGTGCCTTGGCTTCGGGAGACCTGAGCTTCTGGCCCAGCAGGACAGGATAGTGGAGCGCCTCAGAAGGCAGGCATCAAGGCCCAGTGGCATGACCAGCACACCAGGTGACAACCCCAAGGGGACCACTGTGATTGAACCTGTCACAATAATAGCATAACTATTGTTCACTGTGCAGCCAGTAAGTTTCATTACCCAGTTCTGCATTTGGAATGCAACATGCAAGGTAGTGTTTATTTAAAAGTTATTTCTATTGGACTTTAAAACAAATACAAAACCTATGACCAGCAGATGCATTTCCATTTTTTTAAACAAAGAACTTTGTTACCTCTTGACCTAATTTAAAATTGTGGCCTATGGTATGCAGAAAGTCAGGCTACATCTTAAAAAAAAATATAAGAAGAATTTGATTTAATAGTGCCATTTTAGAAGAACAGTATGTAACATTCAGCAAAATAAACAACTGGATTACATAATTCTGAAAGAGACTCAGGATAGCCAGGGTATACAGAGTCTAAAAAATTAATATGAAAATGGATGTCCTTTTGACAACTTTTACTCAGTAAGTGGAGTGCTGCTGTAAGACTTTGCTATTTCTAAATCATTATGGTGGGCAACAGGTTTTTCTTTAAAATACATGCGCTCTCACACCACATCCAAATGAGAGATTACACATATTCTTTGCCCTCCCTCAAGCCCACTGTCCATTTAAATATGCCTATGAACTTTTATTAAGACTGCTGAACACACTGCAAATAAAAAGTTAATTTTGGAAGACAAGGCTAATAGAAAAGAATGCATTAATATGTGACAAGATTTCAAAATTACATGAATGAGATTTCATGTTCAGAATCATAACAGGATGAAAAAAGACTTTGGCCATCCAGTCTCAGAACTGAATTCCTTCAGAATTCTTAAACTGCCAAGTACATTACATATAAAAGAAGGCAACTAAAATAAGTTAAATTGTACTCACAATATTAGACTCCCCAGGATAAGAGAGGGGAAAAAGGTCTTCCCTCTTAGCTACACCCCCTCACATGTTCCTTGAATAGGTTTAGCCAACTGTGTTCTTGCCACACATTTACAAGCCAACACATATATACTCCTTTGTGATTACCACATGCCTATTTTTGAAAACTATTTTAAATAGACACCCCACTGTCCCCAAAGAACAGAACACTGAAACTTACTGATGAGCTGCATACACAAAAAGAATATCTGTAAAGATGACAGAAAATCTTTGGAAGAAGACTGTTGCATCACTGGAGTAGTTCAAATTTTGGATAACCAGCATTTCCTGATCTAAGTATTTGGCAATATTTGAAAGCGCATATTCAAACCAAGCAAAAAATGGAGGATAATCCAAGGTCCACTCAGAAGTTGCCTAAAAGCAAAATAAGATTTACCAATTTAGAACTGATGGTCAAAACAGCTGCCCATAGTCATTTATATATAGAAAAGTTTGTCATATAAGATTAACTGGTATGTTCACTCCAATAGAAAGTACTAACCAAAGGTCATTACCTCTGATTTTATTTCTACCTTATAATGGGGCTGAGCAACTGTACAATGCTGAAAATTACTTCAGCAGCTTTGCTATGAGATGGTAGCGTTCATGGAGAGACTGAAAGTCTGTTAGGTATGGGAAGAGGTAGGCGTGGCAGAATTTGCTTTTTTATTTTAATGACTGTTAACATGAATATTTATTTAAGTATTTTTTGCAATTTTTATCAATTTAAATAATGAGAAATTGGCACAGACTCAAAAAATTAAAGCTTTATTTATAACTGTTAAAACGCAAACTGTCTACATCACACATCAAACTAAATATCCTTACATAAACACTAAGTTCTCAAGCAGCATTTTTCTTCTTTTGCCTATCTATAAATTTTGATTATTATAATACTACAATGAGGGCAGTATAAGAACAAAATAGCTGGTCAAGATTGCCAGTTATGCTGATTATTTTTCTGATGTGGACAAGTGTCCACTGTGAACTGCTTCATTCAGGTTCTTTCATACTGTTCCTGTCTGTTACTCTTGCTTTGTATCATTTAAATCCATGCACTTTAGTAATAACTTTTCCTTAATTTTACTACAAACCATATCCGTATGTATATCAAAATGAAGCATGTTTCAGCTACGTTAACAGCTCTCTTTTTTCTGAAAGGGAGAGTAACACAATAGCTTATGGTTCTTGGTGCCCTGAGAAAAACACAATGGGCTCCTGATCCTCAATTGGTATCCCTGGGCATACTTCAAAAACTAACCCCATCTATCTGCCATTAGTGTCCATGATGTATATCCAGGGATATCAGGTCAGTGTCTCTAATAAGCACCATACTCATACACAGCTAAAAAGCAAATGAATAGAACAAGAACTTACTTCATAATACCACTGAGAGACTGGTAAACTGTGAGTGATGGCAAGCCAGTTTCTATGTACTTCAAAATCTGTGGAATGACTGCATAGAATATGGATACTCAATATTTAATATTTAATACTCAATATTAATATTTAATACTCAAATATGTACAGACTTAAAGAGATTTTTAAAAAATCTTTCAAAGTTTTCAACTATTTACAGGTAGACAGAAAAGGATCAGCAAGAAATTATTTGTGTTGCTACTCCAGTGGATTTAGCTGTTTCAAAGCTGCACTATTAACTAAGCAAAAAGCAGACTAAATAGTAATTATAAGAGAGCATGAGCCATCTTGGTTTCTACAAATTGCTAATAAACAGGAATATTAGGATTCAGTTATAGCTCTCAGGTTTGCTTGACATAAGGGGCTAAAGTTCCTGTTTTTATGTAATGAAATTGTAATGTCACAGAATCATACAACGGCTGGGAGGGACCTTGAGAAGTCATCAAGTCCAGTCAGTGCCATGGCAGGACCAAGTAGAGGTGAATGGTGAAGAGGGACCAGGGGTAGAGAGCAGAAACCACTGGCCATGTAACACCCCATCTCCAGTTCAGGGTAGGACTGTAACTCCCCCTCTCCATCACAGGCCCCATTTCTCCCAGCCTCTGCTTCACCTTCTCCCTTCCTCTTCCCTGCCTTCGCTCTGCCCATTCATCCTCTGCCAAGCAATGCAGCGTGTGGGACTAACAGGGCTAGGGGGCTGGCAGTGGGGGGGTCCAGTCCACCTGCACTCACTGGCAGTGGCAATGCAAGCAGAACAACGTGGTCTGAGGAACAGAAGGGGGTGGACCACACTGTGGAAGGCCTGATCCCTCTCTTGGTAGTCCCCCACCTTGCTAGCTTCTGGCTGGCTCCTCGCCTCTTCCGCTCATGGCATTTGGGGACATGTGCCCCCTCACAAGTTGCCTATGGGACCAAGTAAACCAAGACCATCCCTGACAGATGTTTGACCAACCTATTTTTAAAAACTCTGAATGATAAGGATTCTACAACCTCCTTTGGAAATCTATTCTAGAGCTTAACTATCCTTATAGTTAAAGTTTTCCTAATACCCAACCTAAATTTCTCTTGTAGAAATCTTGCAGATTAAGCCCATTACTTCGTGTCCTACCTTCAGCTAACATGAAGAACAAATTGATCATTGTCCTCTTTATAACAGCCCTTAACATATTTCAAGACTTATCAGATCCTCCTCCTTTTTCTTTTATCAAGACTAAAATGTGCCCCATTTTATCACCTTTCCACATATGCCAGGTTCTCATTCTTTTATCATTTTTGTAACTCTTCTCTGGACTCTAATTTGTCCAATCTTTCCTAAAATGTGGTGCTCAAAATTGGATACAGTACTTCAGCTGTCTCACCAGTGCTGTTTAGAGCAGAAAAATTACCTCCTACTGAATATGACACTTGTATTAATACACCCCAGAATATTTGCAACTTGATCACTAAGGATATTAAATTGCGAGTAATTGATTAATCAAATAGTCGATGCATTTGGCATTGACTATTCGATTAGTCAGTAGGTCACCTTTGCCTTTGAAATGTAGCAACAGCCATAAGGCTTACACTTCTAAGGCAAAAGCGCTGCATGGAGCCCGGGATCAGCTGAGGACTCCCCCACTGATCTCAGGCTCCATGCAGCACTGCCACTTTGAAACGCTGCAGAGAGACCAGAGCCAGGCTCCTTGCGGAATTTCAAAGCTGTAGCGTCCCATGAAGCCCAGGATCAGCTGGGGACTCCCACGCTGACCCCAGGCTCCATGTGGCGCTGCTGCTTTGAAACGCTGCAGGGAGCCTGGCATCAGGATCCTCGCAGCACTTCAAAGCAGCACTACTGACCACTTGGAGCCCAGAGTCAGCAGGGGAGTCCCCCAGCTGATTCCGGGCTCCATGCGGTGCTGCCACTTTGAAATACCGCATGCAGCCTGGGTACACCCCAGCTGGCCCTAGGCTGCACATGATGTTTCAAAGCAGCAGTGCTGTGTGGAGCCCGGGGTCTGGCCCCAGGCTCCATGTGGTGCTGCCACTTGGAAGTGCCCCCTCTGCTTCCTCCCCCTTGCTGCCTCGATCAGAAAGAGGCAGCATGCCGGGGGGGAGGGGGGAGTTACTAGTTGACTAGCATCCCTATTGATCACATTGTTCATTCAGCTTGTGATCCTTTATAACCCTCATATTTTTTTCCACAGCACAACCACGTAGTTCTGCATTTGATTTTTCCTACCTAAGTGAAGTACTTTGCACTTGTCCATATTGATTTCATCTTGTTGGATTGAGATCAGTTCTCCAATTTGTCAAGGTTGTTTTGAATTTTAATTCTGTCTTCCAAAATGTATGCAACCCCTCTCAGCTTCTTATAAAATTTGCAGATGATAAGTACACTCTCAATTGCGCTACCTAGGTAATTAATGAAAATATGAAAAAGTACTGGACTGAAGTATGACCAAACAGAACTCCTACTAGATACATCCTCCCAGTTTCACAGGGAACCACCGACACTCTTGGAGTACTGTCTTTCATCCTGTTGTGCTCCCACCTTATAGTAATTTAATCTAGATCACATTTCCCTAGTTTGCTTATAAGACAGTCATGGTGGCACCCTGTGAAAAGCCTTACTAAAATTAAGATACATCATATCTACTACTTCCTCACTGAGCCAGTAACATCATCAAAGGAGAAAATTACGTTGGTTTGGAACTATTTGTTCTTGAAAAATGCTTGCTGGCTATTCCTTTATAATCTTGTTAACCTCCTGGTCATATAATACCTATTAGAAGGTGGACACAGAAAAATGGAGAACACACTACCAAATTTACGGCTGTGAAAAATGCATCACAAACTGTGAAATCTGGTCTTTTATTTATTTTTACCCTATACTATACAGATTTCACGGGAGAGAAGAACATTTCTCAAACTGAGGGGCCTGACCAGAAAGGAGGTCACAAGGTTATTGTAGGGAGGTTGTTGTATTGCCACCCTTATTTCTGCACTGCCTTCAAAGCTGGGCTTCCATCATTCTCTGGCCATATAGCTCTGAAGACAACACTGCTGCCAGCAACTGCACAGAAATGAGGTTGATAATATGGCAACTTCCCAAATCCCTTTTGGATCAGAACCCCTATAATTATAAAGTATCAGAGGGGTAGCCGTATTAGTCTGAATCTGCAAAAGCGGCGAGGAGTCCTGTGGCACCTTATAGACTAACTGAAGTGTAGGAGCATAAGCTTTCGTGGGCAAAGACCCACTTCGTCAGATGCATCTGATGAAGTGGGTCTTTGCCCACGAAAGCTTATGCTCCTACACTTCAGTTAGTCTATAAGGTGCCACAGGACTCCTCGCCGCTCCTATAATTATAACACATTTAAATATCTGAAATTAACAATTTTTAAAATCCTAGAACCATCACCGGATAAGGGTGATGCTTAATAGTTAACCAGTGACATCCCTAATCCCAATCAGAACAACTAAAGACAGGTTTCATTTATTGTCTCAGAAGTGATAACTATAAAAACAGGTATAGCACTGGAAAAAATGCTCCCACAGTGCCACATCATAGAAAAGTGCAGCCCTGTTAAATAGCCTTCCTCCATCTGGGGCAATAGTTCTCAATTTACATTTGTGGGCAGCATCCAATACTACCTGTATGGCTCATTCAGGCTGTCACACAGGACACAGCTCCACACTGACTGGTCTGCAGGTTAAGAACCACTGATCTAGGGGTTTGATAGCTTAGGAAAAGTCATCAGTATCTGTAGCAAAATCCTAAAAATGTTGAAACTTAGATGTAAAATTCAGCGTCACTTTCATGGGTGACAGATAAGACCATAGTAATGCACAAAGTAATGCAAGCTGTACCGGACCCTGATCTTTGAAAAAGACTTTTGACTCTCAGGTGAGCTGATGGCTGGCCCCTCCAACAGCACAAAGAAAGTATGAGGCTGCTAACCTTTGCTAATTTGAGCACAAGAGAAGACAATCATTTATGGATTACTTGGGGGGAGAGGTAGTCTCACAGCAAACAAACTAGCAAGCCAGCTAACCTCATTAACAAGGGCCCTGTTCTCCGGGTGTAAGGTTGCTGCTGCACTCAACTCACTATGAAGACCCATTTCACTGACCCTGACTCCTGGCAGGAGCCCCACCACAGATTCCACATTCCAGAACAGTGGTGTGGTAAGTCTGGCACTCAATCCTGCCACCAGAAATAGATTTGATGTCCCAGCTCAATGCTGGAAGGGAGTGGAGCTCTATGTCACGTATCCCCTGCAAGTAGCCCCTTGCCAACCTGATGAGAAGGTGCCACCTAGAGTGTCCAGGTATTCAGTTTCTGAGTGAAACACCCCGTCAAAAAGGGTCACAGGCAGCTCTGGTCAGAAATGTCAATGAAGCCCTTAAAAGTCACAGTGCTGTAGGGCTAAGGCAGGCTTGTCACCACCTGTGTTGGCACCATGCTGTGCTCCAGAAGCAGCCAGCAGATCTGGCTCTTAAGTACAGGAGCCACAGGGCACAGGCTCTGAGCATTAGCTCTGCATAATAATTGGTTGGTTCCTGGCCAATGGGAGCTGGGGGGACACTGCCTGTGGGCCACAGTAATACATAGAACCTTCCTCCACCATTTAGGCATTGGACCTGTTGGCCACTTCCAGGGTACAGCATAGTGCCAGGACAGGAGGCAACCAGCCTGCTGCCCTGCAGAACTAACGCGCAGGAGCCACCCCAGGTAAGCCTGCACCCCCAAACCTAGAGCCCCACCCTGCCCTCCCAAACCTCTCCCTCAACGCGCGATTCCCTCCTACCCCCCAAGCACCCCTAGACGAGACCCCTTCCTCCCTCCCACACCCCAAGCCCCTACCCCGGGACAGTGTGCGGGGGATGGGGGAGCTACCAAAGGGGTGGGGGAAATGAAGTGAGCAGGGGGCGGAGCCCCAGGGCAGGGGCGGGGCCAGGGTGTTCGGTTTTGTGCCATTAGAAAGTTGGCAATCCTAAGCATGATTGAGTCTTCTTTTTTTCTGCTGCCTTGAAACTGTTGGGGGTGAAGCCCCATTAGCCTTCTACACAGTGTGGGGTTTTTTTTCATCACAGTATTAACAGAAAAGAATATTATTGAAACACCTTAAGGTGCCACTGCCTATTGAAATCAATGGAAGGACTCCAGTTCACTCTATTGTGGTTGGATCAGGGTCTGTATTTCAGATTTAGGTGTGAGTGAGCACCGATAACTTGAAATATATGTCCTCATGAAATAATATAGTTGTGTGTGGATTCTCGCCATTACTCTTTCTTCTTTACTGTTTCACTGTCTGTTTTCCAAAGTACATTTCATGAATCATTATACTAAGTGATTGGCTTGAGAGGAAAATAATATATTAATCACCTTTAAAGAAAAAAAACCTTTAAAATAAGTAAGTGCCCACAAAAAATTCTCGCAACCGCCGCTTCCGCTCGCCGCCGCCGCCATCTCCATGACACGCCGCGCCGCTCTCTGACAGCTCCGATACCCTTCTGCGCACGCGCCGATATCCAACCGGCCCGCCTCGGTATTCAAAAAAAACCACCACGCGATCACACTGAGCATGCGCCAGGTCGTTGTGTTGTTCCCCCCCTCCCCCTCCCGCCCAGTTGTGCGTTCCCAGGATACCACAGACTCCACAGGCGCTGGTCAACTCCATCGATGACAAGTCTACTGCGCACGCGCCAATAGTGGAGTCTGTACAGTGGGTGGGTACAGGGGTCTTTTTTGCACCACGTCGGGTGAGGAATCATTGGATTGTGCCAGGGAGCTTGCTGCTCTGACACTTGTCTTAGCTCATAGAATACTAGGACTGGAAGGGACCTTGAGAGGTCATCGAGTCCAGTCCCCTGCCCTCATGGCAGGACCAAGTACTGTCTAGACCATCCCTGATAGACATTTATCTAACCTGGTCTTAAATATCTCCAGAGAGGGAGATTCCACAACCTCCCAATTCCTTCAGCCTTCCCTCATTGGTCATGTTCTCTAGACCTTTAATCATTCTTGTTGCTCTTCTCTGGACCCTCTCCAATTTCTCCACATCTTTCTTGAAATGCAGTGCCCAGAACTGGACACAATACTCCAATTGAGGCCTAACCAGCGCAGAGTAGAGCGGAAGAATGACATCTTATCTTGCTCACAACACACCTGTTAATGCATCCCAGAATCATGTTTGCTTTCTTTGCAACAGCGTCACACTGCTGCCTCATATTCAGCTTGTGGTCCACTATAACCCCTAGATCCCTTTCTGCCATACTCCTTCCCAGACAGTCACTTCCCATTCTGAATGTATGAAACTGATTGTTCCTTCGTAAGTGGAGCACTTTGCATTTGTCTTTATTAAATTTCATCCTGTTTACCTCAGACCATTTCACCAATTTGTCCAGGTCATTTTGAATTATGACCCTATCCTCCAGATTAGTCGCGATCCCTCCCAGCTTGCTATCATCTGCAAACTTAATAAGCATACTTTCTATACCAATATCTAAATCGTTGATGAAGATATTGAACAAAGCCAGTCCCAAAACAGACCCCTGCGTAACCCTACTTGTTATGCCTTTCCAGAAGGATTATGAACCATTAATAACTACTCCCTGAGTATGGTTATCCAGCCAGTTATGCACCCACCTTATAGTAGCCCCATCTAAGTTGTATTTACCTAGTTTATTGATAAGAATATCATGTGAGACCGTATCAAACGCCTTACTAAAGTCTAGGTATACCACATCTACTGCTTCTCCCTTATCCACAAGATTTGTTATCCTATTAAAGAAAGCTATCAGATTGGTTTGACATGATTTGTTCTTTACAAATCCATGCTGGCTGTTCCCTATCACCTTGCCACTTTCCAAGTGTTTACAGATGATTTCCTTAATTACTTGCTCTATTATCTTCCCTGGCACAGAAGTTAAACTAACTGGTCTATAGTTTCCTGGGTTGTTCTTATTTCCCTTTTTATAGATGGGCACTATATTTGCCCTTTTTCAGTCCTCTGGAATCTGTCCTGTAGCCCATGATTTTCCAAAGATGATAGCTAGAGGCTCAGATACCTCCTCTGTCAACTCCTTGAGTATTCTAGGATGCATTTCATCAGGCCCTGGTGACTTGCAGGCATCTAACTTTTCTAGGTGATTTTTAACTTGTTTTTTTTATTTTACCTTCTAATAAACCTCATATTATCCTTCAGAGTCTGAACCACTGCCGGGAAGGCCAATCAATGGCTTGGAGCAGTGGTTCCCAACCTTTTTGAGCAACCTTTTTCAATCTATTACAATTTCTCCCCTTAGGAGAAAAGAAAAAAAGAGAGAGAGAGAGAGAGAGAGAAAAAAAAGGAGAGAGAGAATAACAGGAAAAAGGGGAAAAAAAGAAAAGAAAGAAAAATGGAGAGAAAAGGGGGGAAGAGACAAAAGAGAGAAAAGAGGGAGAAAAAGAAGAGAGAAAAAGGAAAAGAGAGAGAGACAAGAAAGGGAAATAAGAAAAGAAAGAAAAAGAGAGAGAAAACGAGAAAAAGAAAGGATTGGGTCCATCATCGTGGACCTGATCCTTATTTTTAAATTTCCCAGGGACCACAAATTGGAAACCACTGGAGCTAGCTACAATTACTGGTAATGCTTGCAACTTTGCAGAGTTGCTCCCAGGGAACCAGTTAACTGTTACCCAGTAAGGCTATGTCTACACTCGTGGCTTCTTGCACAAGTACGGCCGGTTTTGTGCAAGAATCTGCAGAGCATCCACACTGCCCGCCCGCTCTTGCGCAAGTAAATTTACAGTACGGTGTAGTAAGAGAGGGATCCCTGCGCAAGAGCTACGCTCTTTTTTAACAGGTGTAAGCCCTCTTGTGCAGGAGCTCTTGTGCAAGAGGGCAGTGTGGACGCTTGGCAGGGATTTTTTGCGCAAGAAAGCCCTATAGCTAAAATGGCCATCAGAGCTTTCTTGCGCAAGAGAGCGTCCACACTGCCATGGATGCTCTTGCGCAAAAGCACAGCTCGCACATGGCAGTGTGGACGTTTTCTTGTGCAAGACTTCTTGCACAAGAAGCCACCAGTGTAGACATAGCCTAAGAGTGATGCTTACCAGATAACTGGCTAACCGGTTATCCATTCACATCCTTAGTAAAAAGTACTTCTTAGGCTGGATGAATAGGCAAGTAGAATTTTGCAAGGGTGTAATAATTATTAGCACTTATAAGAGACCTCCATCACAACAGCTGTAGCACACCTCTAAGGATTGAAGCCTAACACTTTTGTGCCCCATCCTAATCTAAGTCAAGACAGAACATGGGTGGTAGACTATGTAGAATCCAGTAGTAGTGTCGAAGAGTGCTGACCAGTGTTCCCTCTATTTTCCATCCATGAGCAATGAGAGTTTTGGCTTGTGCACCAGTATTGAGATCATGTACACTTATTCAGATATGTGCCATGATTGCACCCACCAGTTACTAACAAAATATATTAAATGTTATGGGAAAAAAATACTAAAACAGCCCTTTCTCAGTCACAAATAATAAAAAGAGCAGTTAAATCAGAACTTTCACCCAAGTATCGTTATTATTATGGCTAACCCTAAGTGCCAATGTACTGTCATGCCATCAATTATAAATAAGGTAAAAAGACACCCCCCCACACACACCTGCAAAGTTTAAAGATCTGTGCTGCACTGCTACACAATACCAGTAATAAATGGTGGCAGCACAGACATTGTTCCCTCTTTCAATCCATGTGCAGAATAAATTTTGTTATTTGCACCGAGGAATGTGCAGGTGTGCAACACCAGTTGAAACATATGCTGCTGGCTGTGGGTGCCTCTCTCCTGTGTGGCTGTCCAAACTCTCAGCTCACTGAGGTAACACTGAGGAAGAGTTAAGTTATACATTAGTTGCATCTGTGTTTACTCCTAAATGTAGACAATTGCAAATTGGGATTTACACTGGGGGAGCTAATCAGGGATTATCCCAATGGAAAAAAGGCTAAGTGTCACCTTAATTAGCATAAATTCCTATATGTGCTATTATTTAGCCTAGGGAGTCAGCACTGGTGCAGGTGCATCAACTACTATCCAGCAACTGCTGAATTGTGGCTATTTGAAAATGGAGCTAAATCCTCATTGTATGAGGAGTAAAAATTATTTTGAGAGAAGGGTTTTCTCTCGAAATAACGCTGCTACACAGGGCGTTTTATTTCACAATAATATGATTTCAAAATGGCAACTGGACGCAATTATGCTAATTAAGTGCAGGATATTCAAATCCCGTGCTTCATTAGAAATTTCGGTACAGTACATTTGCATCCCTATCTCGAGATAAGGATCAAGTGAAGACATACCCCCACAGACTCCAAGATCGACCAGTAGACGATTTAAATAATTGCGGTTTCATTTAAATTTAAATGGCTGCCACGCTGAGCCAACAAACAGCTGATCAGCTGTTTATCGGCTCAGCATGCTAGTCTGGACGCTCCCCTGCCAACATGAAAGCCCTTTATCGACCTTCCCGGTAAACCTCATCCTACGAGGCATAATGGGGAGGTCGATAAAAGGGCTTTCAGGTCGGTGCGGGAGCGTCCAGACTAGCGCGCTGAGCCGACAAACAGCTGATTAGCTGTTTGTCGGCTCAGTGCGGCAGCCATTTAAATTTAAATGAAGCCGAACTGAGCCAGGCTGCCTGCCTATCTGGTCCCAATACACTTAAGGCAGAGCCACTGCAGAGGTAGGTCCAGGACCCAGTGCAAATTGGGACTGAGCTGGGCTGCTGGCCATCCTGCTAAAAAATTTACTGGCAAGGGGTGGGAGGCAAATGCATGTTGTCTATAGCATTAACCTATAAACTTTTGTTTATCGGTTAATCAACTACACTATTACATCCCTAATCCACACTAGGATTATTCTAAATTAGTTTGGTTGCATTACTTGCTGGGTAAGTATTGCAGAATTCTCAGTGCAGTTCATAGGAACAATGCCTTCTGGGTGATAACAGTATGATAATATGCTATGTAAAGTCCTAGAGAGGAGGGAATAAACTATAACTTCAGAAAACACCATTAAATTTTTGCTTGCAAACAAATTTATGTCCATCAACTAATCTAAATGCAGCACTACTAACATTTTATTTACTTATTTTTAAAGTACATTTTTGGTAACGTTATTCAGAAAAGAGCTACAGTCAGAAAAAAGTGTAAAATTAAAATACACTATAAACTCTCAAAGACAGGAAATAAAATACCTTCTGATATTTTTCAGACAGCAGTAAATTGTAGGAATAGCTCTCTTAGCAAATTTGGGACCAGATTCTGGCCAACTGTAAAATCCTAAAGCCAGAAAAAAAATTGGAGAATGGTGCTCATGTCAAGATTTTTAGCTTCCTTTAGAATCCATGGATATATCACACCAGTCCTCATGTTGTCTAGAACAAGAGCCATCAGAGGAGTTCTTCCAAGATTAGGGGGTATGATCTGCATGTTTATGTTCATATTACCCATCCCACCCAGAATAGGTGGCTCTGGAGATTATTTGAGAATTTAACATGTAGAATTAAGAGAGTTAAATATTTTAAAATAAATCCATCATTTTCTATACTTTTAAGTATGATGGAATCTGGGAAAACATCTGTCTGTTTCATAGTTTTTCCATTGTCTATGAAGCATCAGATGATCCCAGATTTAGTTTACAAAGCAGTGTTAGTAAGAGTCCCTATTGCATGAGTTGTTGAAGATCAGATTTGCCACTCCCTATAAACCTAGTACATGGCTCATCCTTGGTGGAGGAAAGAGAGGCATAGTACTGATATAGCTAAACATTAGCCTAACCCCCACTCTAGTGTGGAAGGAAGCTGCAAGCATGGAGTCTCCGAACAGACTTTTATTCATTAAACTGATGTTATTCTCATCCCCAACCGTGTAGGTCTGTAGCCATACTAACTCATTCTGGCCATCTGATCTTTCTCGAGATGCTGCATTTGCATTAAAAGGATTTTCTCACAAACTCTACTTTAGATCCTACCCCAGGAGATGACACCAAGCTGACTTATTAGTATTAATACTTAGCATTTGTAACACTTATATGTTTTTCAAGCATTAAGCCTGACAGTGCACTTATGGGCCTCAATAAGTACTTTCCCCTCCATTTTACAGATTGGGAAACACAGGAAGGGGTGTTTTATGACTTGCCCAAGCCCACAAAGGGAGTGATATCAAAGAACTCCAGATTTTTACTCCTTTTTCCGATAACTGCTCTCCCCTGAAGAGTTTACCACAGATGAACACGTGCACTTAAGGATAGATAGTCTATTGAGTCATCTGCAACATGAGGCAGAAACAGTGTTGTAGGAAATCTAAATCCTTCTCTCAGAGGAGGAAGAAAGTTCTATCTTCCCAAAGTGCCCCAGAAATTCTATTAAAACACCTTGGCTGTAGTGTTGTTTGCTTTTATGGCATAATTCTGGTTATAGCAGTACTTCTGAGATCTGGAAGTCATACTAATCATTTTACAACACATTAGCATACAGTTTAAGCTATACATTGTATAAGCTGATTCACACAGCAATCACTTTGCTTCACCACTGGTGTGGAACATGGTAGTTGTTTAAAGCCATGCAACAGTTTCAGACAGGGTGGGAAGAACAGTACCTGGTTCCGCTGAAATGGCAAGGAGATTTTCAATTGGAAAAATAATTCCGGATATCGGTTCTTGGCCAGGATATCAGGATTACAATCCTCAATCTTGTGAAAGCTTCCATATGACTTTTAATGGCTATAAGGCAGGTGTGGGCATCTAGACCTGGGGTTGGGAGAGCATGTGAAGTCTCCTCCCCCGCCAGAGGTGTGTGGCACCAGAGGGAACCATGCACCTCTGGCAGGGGAGGAGACTTCACACGCTCCCCCCGCCGCGAGGCATATCAGGGTCTGTGGGCGGGGGAGCACTTGAAGTCTCCCACCCCAGCCTCTTCCACCTGAGGCCCCGCCCCTTCCGGGACAGCCCACAGCCACTTCTGAAATTCACAAAGTGGCCCCCCTTCAATAATTATTACCAACCCCTATTAGAAGGGGGTAGGACCTCAATTTTACATCTCACCCAAAAGGCAGAATCTACAGTTGGCTGGTGCTTCCTGTATCACACTGATGCAGCACTGACTCGGGAAGTGGTGTTGTATGTCAAGCTGCTCATACCACTTGCTGCAACATCTGGGTTTTTACCATCAACAGCCAGTACAGCTTGGTCACAAAGTTGCACAGATTTTATACATTTTAATAACAGAAACAAAATACAACTCTTATGCAATGGTAACTTATAAGCTGGGTCAGCACCATGCTACTTTTTGAAGCAGGGACTGAGACGAGGCTAAGCTTTGTAAAAATACAGATCTCATTTAAAAGCTTCTGGAGACAATAAAAATGCAGGTATGGATGCTAGTTATTGGATGCTTTATAGACCACTGTATTCTCCCTTCATTAATGCTGACAGATACTAGACAGCATCCAGAGGTTTCCCATTGCAGTCAGCGTTTGAGGGTGATGACTTACTTCCAGAAAGACAACTGCTAGTCTATAATGCTTGCAAGGACCACAGTAGTCATGGCAACTCATGCCTGAGTGCTCAGCATGGTTGGAGTGGATGCTAATTATGTTTAGAGCAAACCATGCTGCTAAGTGATTAGAAATGTTATTAGAAGTTATAGAGCAGACAAGGCCTTAGTTAAAGAGCTTGGCCATTTCCACCATTTCTACTGAGCTAGTTCTCCATTTCCTTCCCTTGTGTGTAGTCATTCACACCAGAGCACAATAGGTATAAAATGCTTCCATTCTGATTGGGTAGTCTCTTACAACACTCACTTGGCACTAGTGCAAACAATGCACCAGGTACAAGGAGAATCAGGACCCTGGTCCTTACTGAAGAAAAGTAACTAGAGAGCTTCTCATGTATAATCTTATAGAAGGGATAAATTTTATTCCAAAAGGCAAACTATGTTTAGTATAGCTATGAAGCTGCATTATGTTTAGTACAGCTATGAAGCCTTCAGTACACCTTTCCCCTAAGAAGCACTTGCCCAAAGAGAAGGTGTGGGGCATGTGTGGATGTGGTCCAAACTATTTAGAATACATTTGGAGGCCGCTACTTTGTATTCTCTTAATAATCTTCAGAACAAAAAGCGTTTTCCAAAACTATCCTTTAAACACACATACCATTATCAGAAAGACTAAACCTAGTTACCTTTAATGCATTTGAGCCTAATAAGATTTAAGTGTTTCCACACGTTTAAATAAAAAAAAAACCTATGTAGTAGACAGTGTTATTTTCTCTGCAATGGCATCCAAATTTCCTAGTACAGTGGTTTCCAACCTGGGGTCCGCAGACCCCTGGGAGTCCACGATGGTACTGTAGGGGGTCTGTGGAAAATTTAGGAAAGGAAAAGTAAGGATCAGGCCCACTGAGGGCCTGGGACTTTCCATGTGCGACCAGCCACACGCACATGCTTCCCATCCTCAAGATGGGATCTTGATAGCTCAGGAGGCACCATCCGTCCTCCCGCCACTAGCTGCGCTGCCGTTTACGCTCCAGTCCTCTCCCTCCTCCCAGTCCCACAGTGGGCCTGACCCTTACTTTTCTTTTCCTTTTCTTTTTTTTTCTTCCCCAGGATTCCATGCTTGCCAAGGGTGGAGTGCCAGGGCAGGAGCTGTCTTTGGCCATAAGAACCCCCTAACTGTATCCTCCATGGATGAGCAGGGGTTGGAGGAAGTGGGAGCTGAGGAAGCAGCACAAGCCAAGGGATGTGCTGGCTGCTGCTTTCCTGCTGCTTCCCTTTTGGGGGGGGGAGCGTAAAATTTTAACAGATTGAAAAGGGGTCCATATGCTTGAAAAGGTTGGGAACCACTGGCCTAGTGCAAACATGGATACTCCAATAAAAGAACAGGATTGAGAGTTCATTACAGGGAAAAGAACTAGCCTTCACTGGGACAAGACGACTTCAGATTAAACACTGAGCCACAGCCTCCACTTCCTTGCATAGTCGATTATACCTGGTGTGTGAGAGTGAAATCTCTATCCTGCTGACCTGGTAGCAGTCTACAGCCACTCTAGCCAGGTATAATTAGCTACACAATGTGATAAGAGAATCAGACCCATTGCACTCAATACAACTCTGAAGCTCTATAAACACTGCAATGGACGATCTCATGGTGATATGTAAACTTCATTATTTAAGCCTCATGGCATTCTTTTGAAGTAAGTATTATTATCCCTCTTCTCCAATGGGAAAACAGAATCAGAGAGAAGTGACCGGCCCTTAATCACCCAGCAAATCTGTGGCAAAGGAAGAAATGGAGCCCAGGACTCCTTAATTCCTAACCCAACTCAAGACAGTAGACAGTACTTCATCCATCTAGAATATAGACATATTCTGAAAGGACATAATGATAAATTCAGTATAGGAAAAATCAAGTCACAGTTAGTGATTCTTAATGAAGATTATCACAATTTTGTAGTAAGCTGTTTGCTACTGCGTCTTGAAGTGGGTCTTAAAACAAAACACTGTGTTGGGTTATGTCTATCCTGATATCTTAACAGGCTATTTTTACTTGTACCGAATTAATCGAATAATCTTATTATTCATTAAATCAGAGGCATGTGGGTGGGAGGAATCCACACAAAAGCCATCACTCATGGCTATTTTTAGCACCTCTTCCACAAACACCTGGAAGCTATTAATTTGCTTATTAGCTGGCAACACCCAAAGTCTCTTTAAGTTCTGTCTAGTGTACTCCTCTTCTGGCAGGCCTTCCACAGGTGCGACCCAATCTAAGGTCAAGTGGTTGGAGTCCTTCAGGAAGCTGGATATTGAAGATAGGTTACCATTGAAGCAATAGTAAAGTTTGGAACCCAGAAGCTTCAAGAACAAAGATGACGTGCTGAATATGTGGGCACTAAATACTTCCATGTTGGAAGAAGACAGGCTGTAGATCTGGGGTGCTTCCCGAACCGTGAAGTGAACAGTTTGTGTCCTCTGATCCAAAGTGATATTAAGCATGGCATTCTTCTCAGCTTTGGACAGCTCCACCTCCTTCTCTTGCAACGCTTCAATCAGTGGCTGGACTTGATAAAAATCCACTTCCCGGCGCAACAAGCCCATTTCCTGGAAGTCCTCAGGGAGGTCCAAGTGGGATGTTCTCAAGAAGTTTAGGATGTAGCGGAACACTTTGCCATCTCTGTCAATGAAACAGTTGCCTTGGCTATCCCTCTTGGTAGGCATCTTTCCACTAAACATAGCACCCAACATGGAGTCTGGAAAACTTGTCAGGGTAGACAGGGAAGTGGTGTACAGTTTTCCTCCAACATTGAGCGTTATAGGTTCTGACATGCTGGAAAATCCACAATGCTGGGAATAATACTGGAGGGTGGGGGAAAAAAAAACCAAAGACAACACATTTAGATGTTAAAAATTATCACTCTGGGCAAAATTTCTATGTCTATCTCAGGATAAAACCCACAGACGTTAGAGATAAGTAAGATTTTAGAGGTGATCACTGGCATACGAGACAGAAAATACAATCTTGTTCTGGCTTCCAAAAGACATTTAGAAGGGCTTTCTGTTGTTCATTTTAGTACTTCCACCACTTCCCTTCCTAAATGAGGGTAAAATCTTACACCCTGTCTTCACTAGAGTCAAGGTTTCATACTGTGCCCATCCAATCCCATATCTCCCATGCACTCACCATTTCCCCTGACCCACACAGACATTTAGGGTGCATAAGGAAAGAGACATCAGGAAGGTTGTATATCTTTGGTATCTCCAGCATATGTTCTATTTAGAGTGCAAGAGTCTTACCAGAACCACAAAAGTTATCACAGCAGAACATTCAAAGACTGCTTTGTGTTGTCTTCATCATGTTGCACAGATATGCCACAATGACAAGCCTTGACCACACAAATGTCACAGTGCAGAGTCAGGATGCTGTACTGTCAAACACATACGGCCGTTGATCGCTCCATTCAATAATTAAGTGGCTCTCCAGTTCTTCCAGGTTCACTGCAATCCTCGTCTAACAGGTTTCGCCACTAGGACACATTCTGGGCCATACCTCCAACTGTTGTAACTCAGCATAAACCCACTGTAGTCAATGAGAGGATACATGGATTTTCACCACCTGAGTATCTGGTCCTCAACCTACAGTTTCCTTTCCTCAGTTTCAAGTTTAAAAAAGTCTCAGAGGGTAGCTGTGTGAGTCTGTAACTGAAAAAACTTAAATAACAAATGGTCCTACAGCACCTTAGACATGAAGGCTACGTCTACACTGCAAGGTTTTTGCTCAAAAACAACTGTTATTGAGTAAAAACCCGTGGAGCGTCCACACCTCAAATGCGCTTTTGCACAAGGGTAATCAAGAATAAAATGGCAGAACAGAGGGCTTTTCCGCCCTAGGTAAACTTCCTTCTAACTCCCTTTTGCGCAAGAGTTCTTGTGCAAAAAAGCAAGTGTGAATGTTCCAGAGGGGTTTCTTGCGCAAGAAACCCCTATGGGTAAAAGTGATGGCCATTCGCAGAATGGCCATCAGAGCTTTCTTGCACAGGTGTGTCCATGCAGTGTGGACATTCTCTTGAACATAAGGCTTCTTATGCGAGAAGCAAGTAGTGTAGATGTAGCCTAACAAAAAATGTACTATGATACTATCTTCATTTTTGTTAGTCTCTAAGGTGATATAGGACCATTAATTCTTTTTTAAGTTTTCAGTTTCATGTTGTTCCTTGTAGCTGAGTGTTCACACTCCACTCTATCGATGGCTCCCCCTCCTATCCAGAGGTAAGAGGTAGGTGTCTTCTATAAGCTTAAGCTGCAAGATGTATGGTCATTCCACACTAGAGTGCAGGCATTTCAATAAGCAGTTATGGAATGATGAAATATATTGTGCCACCATTATGGATTCTGCAGACATATTAATACACATACTGACAACATGATCTTGTATTGTAATATCAGTTTTCCACTAGCTGCTAACAAAGACAGTAAATGTGCTTGCCTCTCCTTTCATTCAAGGATCTCCAAGCACCCGCAGACATTCATAGGCTTAGATTTGAAATACCCTTGTGAGACAGTGATAGAAATGTAGCAGTGTTAGTCTGGGGTAGCTGAAGCAAAATGCAGGACAATGTAGCACTTGAAATACCATTAGCTCACAAACATCCCACTCTCCCCACCTCTAATATCATCAATTCACAGACACTTACCTTCCATCCTTCCCCCCCTCCCCGCATCCCCCTCCTGTTCTGAAATGTGATTTGTCCTTTTCATATGTGTTCATTTTCTTTAATTGTATCCTTTGGTATATATGGTTGTGACTATTTTCTTCCACTATTTGATCTGAGGAAGTGGGTCTGGCCCACGAAAGCTCATAATCTAATAAACCATCTTGTTAGTCTTTATAGTGCTACATTGTCCTGCATTTTCCTTGTGAGACAGGTGGTTGTGATCACCATTTTATAGAGGAGGTAACTGAGGCATAGCATAACCAAAGCCCCAGTTTTATAATGAATGTGCTCAGCTCAAGACTCAGCCTGGTTATGGAGAACCACTCTTTGATAAAGATAAGGCATCTGAAGCTGAGCACCCAAGAATAGAAACACCCCTCATTAATGGACACATACATTTTGGTTTAAACAACTTTCCTGAGGTCAGGAAGCTCTTGCGAAAGCCCAGGTCCAATTCCCAGCCTTTTGTCTAAACCACAAAAATAGCCTTCCTCCTCCTACCTGACATGCCATTATCGGTGATGTACATTAAACCCATTATACTGGCTCTCTGAGCTTGCAGAGCTCTTTGCTTTAGATCATTGGTTAGATGCATGTGTATAGCTATAAATGGAGGTCTTGAGCTTTAATAGCAGTCCCACATATTTCATAACACTGGGCAAAAAGAACCCCTGTATATAGACAGACACAGTTCACTATAAACTCCACAGGACCTGTGGCACATTCCCATTTTTAGCCAGAAAGGGATGTTTCTTGAAAAAAACATCCTAGTTCCTAGGATAAAAATGTTTTTCCCAACCTTAAACTCTGCTCTCCACTGAAGTGTCAGCAGCGATATTCCACTGCTCCTGAAGAATTCTAGCCATAGTTTTCTGCTTACGTAATATAAGGAGATGTGTCAGATCATATAAAGGACTGGCCTGGCTGTGTAATTCAATTGACAGCAGTGTGTTTTTCAATGAGTTGATACAATTGATCATAGCACAAAAAATTGTAATTAAATTTGACCTTCTAGTTTTTCACCCTTGAAGATAGCCACTTCCAAGTCCATACAAAGAATGGATATATCCTAAATACAGCATGTCAATCTCCCAGGATATTTTATTATAGTTTTAGCAAGTAAAATTTTCACTTAATTTTCTGGATTGACTCAGACAGAAAATATTGTTAAAACTCCAAAGTGGATTAAGATTTCATTTTTTTTGCACTCTCTTGCCAGTTGTCTTGTCAAATGGAATTTAGATACAATGGGCCAAACTGCTTTCATTTACACAATTATTTATAAAGCTCCTATCTTTACAATGCTGCAAAAAAAAAAAAGACATCTTATTATCTGGCAGCTCAATACAACCAAAAAGCCCTAGCGCAAATGACATTTAAGTAGATAGCTCCTGAGCACACTGACTTGACCTTACTGACCAATGCATCTGACACGAGGCTGGGAATGAAAGTGGACCTTGTACCTCACGTTCCCTGTAAACGTTAACTATAGGCAGACAAAATGGATGAACTGCCAGTCTATCTTGCTGCTTTGCTGAAATCCTCATTGGGGCATGATGCATGGGCTCCATCCTGTACTGTCAGTATCATGCACAATAATAAATACATGGCTTTTACATACTACTTCTAATCCAGAGATCTCAAAGCTAGTTCCTCTACTTGCCCTACAGGACTTCCAACTGCTGTTCAGTAGCATTTCAGAAAGGAGCTGGATAAGCAGCAATTTTCAGCAAATGCACCCAGAATAACTAAGGTCAGATTGCAGCAGCAGCTTTTCTTTGAGTCAGAGACCTATACCACGACAATCTAGGAGAGGGTTAAACATGCTATAGGATGGTGGCCAGCCCATCTATGCATTGTTGAAATTCTCTTGCAAGAAAATCCCATTGGGGAGATTCACGCCTGTACCACTGATCCTACATGAAGGAAGAGTTTAACGTATTTGGAAGAAATTCAGAGCAGTAAAGTAACAGGCATCTGTGAACTGGTGGGACTCTATTAGCATGAAACATTAAGAGCACTAAATATGGGTAGTTTAAGAGAAGTCTCAGAGTACCAGATAGTCTATAATGGATGTATATCCCAGCAAGGGAGATGAATTATTTAGGGTAGTACAATGGAGTATAACTAGGGGTTATAAAATGAAAGAAAGAAAGAAATGTTAAGTAATTGATGCTAAGTATCAGCATGAACATCCAGACAAGATCTATTAGTCTTTGGAATAATGCCCAAGTGGAATCCCAATCTTCTGGGTCATTTTAAAGAAGAATGGACAAGAAAACTAGGATATGTATTAAAGGGAATAATTCTGCACTGGTAGGGAATGGATTGGTTCCACCTACAGGTAGCTGTGGAAAAAATTCCGAGCATCTATCTGTTCATGGGCAGCTAAGACTTGAAATATGGTGGTTTTCAGTTGTTTCCAATTGTTTCAAAATGGTTGTTCCAATTATTAGATTATATTCTCATTCTCTAGAGTACATTAACATGAAATAGTAGGGCCGCTGCAATTGTTCAAAGGCAGTCATAGGCATTATGCTTGATCTGATTTGGGCTATGTGCCAACTTTTTTCATTTTTAGAATGTATTGCTCTCGGTCTAATATGCTTTATTTTGTGGCTGCTTTAGCATTCATTCATTAAAATATCACTTGCCAACAGGGGGTCTAAAACTGCATCACAATTGAGACCATATAATACTCTATTTCAAAATCAGGTAAAAAATCCTACTCAGAAAATACCATGATCAACAGCTCTTTGCTTTGAAATCTAGATCTGGTTGGTGAATCTAGCCTACCATTCATGCTACTTGCTATTGAACAGTCACCATGACTGTGACCATCAGTGTGTTTTGCTCCGTCTCCATTCAAGACAGAATTACTATTTGCAATGCCTCTACCCCCCCAGTGAAGAATCAGGGCTCCACTGTGCTTGGTGCGCATCAGACAAACACAACAAAAGATAGTCCCAGTCCCTGAGAACTTACAGTCAAGGTGTCAGGCAGGGTGTGGCAGGTAGGCAAGACGGACCAACAAGGTAAAGGTGGGAGAAGTACTAGAGTAAGCAAAAAAAACAGAAGTCTCAGTTCACCACTTACTTAACCAGAGCCAGCTGGCCGTGACCTATAGGCACCACAGTAGAGATAGATTATAACAGCATCTCTAGAAAATAGTCTGATAGGGCTGGCAGGCAACTATAATTGGGCCACTCATTCACATCTGTCTCAAGTCCTGAAATACAGGTGTAACATTGACAGACAAACCAAACCTGGGACCTCTGGAGCTTAGTGCATGAACCTCTATAGTTTGAATTAAAAAGCTCTCAGCTAAGGCTCTCTCTCTCTCTAAGTGCCACTAGATGGGACAATGAACCACACCCAGCAGATATGTGGGTTACATAGGCGTTACTGTACATGTGTGTGTGGGCTTAGTTTGATTGAGCTCATTGTGAAAAACTCATGCTCTCCCACTCCAGTAGTGTAGGACAATACGAGCACTGTTTCCACCAAAAGCTGTCTGTCTTGAAAGTGAGAGGGCCCAGAGACTAACTGCTTTGTTATACCTGCATGTGTCCCATCTTTGCTATAGGTTTGATTTTGTGCTAGTGGAATTGGAGGCAGTCACTAATGTGGAGCCCTCACCTCTTTCCTTGCTCACCCAGTACCTGGAGGAAGTAGCCTAACACATGGACTCTTGACCTGCCTGGGAGGAAGGTGGAAGGGACTAGAATCTCTTAGCACATCCAGGGCTGCTCATGACCACCCTCCCTTTCTTTATGGCCAGAGGAGAGGGATGCCCTCAGATCGGGGGTGGGCAATAATTTTTGACAGGGGGGCACTCCAAGATTTCGGAAAGTGGGCAAGGGCTGCATTTTTCCGTGTTATTAATGGAGTAGATACGGAGTCTGGGTGGAGGTTGGGCACAGAAGGGAGCTTGGGGTAAAAGATTGGGGTACAGGAGGGAGACTGGAGTCTGGGAGGGAGTTTGGGTGAAGGAGGTGGTTGTGACCTAGGGCAGGAGACTGGAGTGCAAGGGTTTGGGATGTGACCTAGGGTAGGAGGGGATTGTGATCTGGGGTGCTGTTAAAACTAGCCTGCCTGCCTGCAAAGTATAAAATGTTTACCAGCCAGCCTGCCTGCCTGGCCATGTGCTTCATGAATAACTGAGCCAAGGAGAGGGGATGTGGTTCTTCCTGTTACTCCAACAAGCAGCTCGCATTGGCTGGGGCCTGCCAGAAACTGGCCAATAGGAATGTGCTAGGGATGGGGCAGTTCCTAAAACTTTTCCCCTCCCCTCCCCTCCCCTCCAGTTTTAAAACAAAAATAGAGCCCTGCAGCCATGTTTCTGCACGGCACACACAGCAAGGTAGGGAGCCTGCCTGGGGCTTCTGCCTGGCCATGTGCTTCATGAATAACTGAGCCAAGGAGAGGGGATGTGGTTCTTCCTGTTACTCCAACAAGCAGCTCGCATTGGCTGGGGCCTGCCAGAAACTGGCCAATAGGAATGTGCTAGGGATGGGGCAGTTCCTAAAACTTTTCCCCTCCCCTCCCCTCCCCTCCAGTTTTAAAACAAAAATAGAGCCCTGCAGCCATGTTTCTGCACGGCACACACAGCAAGGTAGGGAGCCTGCCTGGGGCTTCCAGCTACCTCTGTGGGGTGGATTCAGTGGCTTGGCAGCACATATTTTGCCCAGGCCTGCCTCAGATTCTTATTTTGTAACATGGGGTCACTGGTCTAGCAGACTAGGGAGCTTAAAGGAAAATACCGTGAATATTATCAGAGTCTCATTTTAAACATAAGAATGATCATACTGGGTCAGACTAAAGGTCCATCTCGCCCAGTACCCCGTCTTCCAACAGTGGCCAATGCCAGGTGCCCCAGAGGGAGTGAACAAAAAAGTGATCCCTTTCCAGACAAACAGAGACTAGGGACACCATTCCTACGCATCCTGGCTAACATCCATTGATGGACCTAACCTCCATGAATCTATCTAGCTCTTTTTTTAACCCTGTTAAAGTCCTAGCCTTCACAATCCTCTGGCAAGGAGTTCCACAGGTTGGCACTGAGTGAAGAAGAACTTCCTTTTGGTTGTTTAAAACCTGATGCCTATTAATTTCATTTGGTGACCCCCTAGTTCTTATATTGTGGAAATAAGTAAATAACTTTTCCTTATTCACTTTTTCCACAGAAGAGAGTTGCCCAATCATTTCTTACTTCTTTTTGAAGCTCTTCAGTCTGCTTTGGTCTTAACTACCTTGAGCAGTTTAGTATCGTCTGCAAGTTTTGCCACCTCACTGTTTACCCCTTTCTCCAGATCATTTATAAGTAGATTGAATTAGCGATGTAACAGTGTTGTTGATTAACCAAGTAACCGATAAACAAAAGATTATAGGTTAATGCTATAGACTACATCCATTCTTCCCCTTCCCCCACCAGTACATTTTTAGCAGGCTGGCCAGCAGCCCGGTTCATTCCTGGCTTGTGCCAAGTCTGGGACCTACCCACACTGTGGCTTTGCATTTAAAGTGTATCAGGAGCTAGGCAAGCAGGCAGGCAACCTGGCTCAGTTCTGACTCCTGCCTTGTCCGGGAGCTCAGACCCACCCCCAGACAGGGACTGCTGCCACCCTGTGCTGCTGTATCAGAGGCAGCAGCTCAGGGTGACAGGTCCACAAGGGGAGCTGGTTTTTAAATTGGCTGCCCTCACAGACCAGCTCCCATTTGGCACCTCAAGCTGCTGCAGCAGTGCAGAGTGGCAGGGGGCTCCCAGGGAGTGGAGCCAGAGCACACTGGCTGTCGTCCCCATCACCAGGGACTACAGAATAGTTGAGTAACCAATAAGAATTCATGAGGTTAATTGACTAGTGAGTCAATTAATCAATCTTTAACATCCCTAGGCTGAATAGGATTGGTCCTAGTATGGATCTTGGGGGGCACACCACTAGTTACCTCTATCCATTCTGAAAACTTACCATTTATTCCTACCTTTTGTTTCCTGTCTTTTAACCAGTTATTAGTCCATGAGAGGACCTTCCCTCTTATCTCATGACAACTTACTTTACTTAAGAGTCTTTGGTGAGGGAACTTGTCAAAAGCTTTCTGGAAATCTAAATACACTATGTCCACTGGATCCCCTTGGTCCACATGTTTGTTGACCCCCTCAAAGGACTCTAGTAGATAAGTAAGGTGTGATTTCCCTTTACAGAAACCATGTTGAATTTTCCCCAACAAATTATGTTCATCTATGTGTCAATTTTATTCTTTACTATAATTTCAACTAATTTGCCCCGGTACTGACATTAGACATACTGGTCTGTAATTGCCAGAATCACCTCTACAGCTCCTTTTAAATATTGGCATCACATTAGCTATCTTCCAGTCATTAGGTAAAGAAGCTGATTTAAAATATAGGTTACAAACCAGTTAATAGTTCCGCAATTTCACATTTGAGGTTTTTTCAGAACTTTTGGGTGAATGCCATCTGGTCCCAATGACTTATTACCGTCAAGTTTATCAATTTGTTCCAAAACTTCCTCTAGTGACACCTCAATCTGGAAAATTTCTCAGATTTGTTACCTAAAAAAAATGGCTCAGGTTTGGGAATCTCCCTAACATCCTCAACTGTGAAGACCGAAGCGAAGAATTCATTTATTTTCTCCATAATGACCTTATTGTCTTTGAGTGCTCCTTTAGCATCTCGATTGTCCAGTGGCCCCACTGGTTGTTTAGCAGGCTTCCTGCTTCTGATGTCCTTAAAAAACATTTTGTTATTACTTTGAAGGCCCTTTTCCTAAAAAGACATGGAGAAGTTCCACTCCAAAACAGACACACACGTAACAGGAGCATGAATATTCATTTCATAACACTCTCCATTTTCTTGCCTTTAGCAGTCAGCTTGGCACCCTTCCTCAATCCCTCATCAATTAACACTGAGGAGCAGCATGGCATTATCCAATGCCAAAGAAGTGCATAGAAAACTGCTTTAAAGCAGTACATACAGCCCAGTTACAAGTAGTACTCATTTCTGGTCGCTAGCACTTATTGCTTAGAGATGGTAAACCTAAAGGATGGGAACTTATTGCTTACTGGTAGGTAAAGATAAAGGGATAAAGCTTGTGGATACCAAAACCAAGCAGGGGATTGCCCTGGGTGGGGACTAGGGATGTAAATGCCCATTAAAATAATTAACTGGTTAAATGATTAAAATAATTAAATGATTAAAATTACATTGTTTAACCGGTTAGCCATTGGATGGCTGGTGCAGAACTGCTGGGGCTGGAGTCCTGCCAGAGTTGTGGTCCTACTGCCTCTGTGGGGCATGGTCCTGCAGGCTTGGTTGCCGTGGGCAGAGGACTGCTCTGACCAGGCCCCTTCTGCCACAGGGATGGGGGGGGGGGGCTGCTTCTGCCTGGCCAATTCTCTGCTGGGATTTGCACAGGGCTGATTAACTGGTTGCCAGGTAAATATACTGGGAGGCCTAATGATTACTGGGTCAATGGTTAACCATTTACATCCCTAGTGGGGGCAAAGGAAAGGAAGATTGGGTTGGAGTCCATTTAATAGTGGAAGGTCAGAGATAAAAGCATAGGTCAAATTGAAGCAGGAGAGTGAAATCACCATACTGAGGGGTGGAGAGAAAAATTGAAGTGAAACTATATATTACTGGGGGGGGGGGGTTGGGAAGAGTGAGGGGAGATCATGGAGGAGGGCAAAAAGAACCAACTGTAAAGCAATACGAGCATCAGGGCAAAAGCAGAGTGTGACTCACAGCTCTGACATGACCCACCCCTCAGAAAGTCTTTGGGCTTGGGGGACCTTCCATTAGTTTTTTAAAGTCACACATTTAAGGAGGAAGCAGCCAACTGCCAAATTGAACCCACAGCATATTCAAGAAGCTAAAGCAACCCTCCCCACCAATCAATTTAATTGTGCTTTCACTAAAGCATTTCACATGCTCTTTGAAGTCCTGGCCACATTCCCCATAGGGAACTGCATTCCACTGACCTAAAATCCTCCTGGTAGCTGCAATGGGATATCATTTTATCACCTATGTTGAATTGCTGGGCAGGGGTGTATATTAACATATTAAGTTAGTACACCTACTAGCTGAGTGGTTACCCCCTACTTCTTAATATACTCCAATCATTTCCAAAGGTCATCCCAAGAAAGATTATCACTGACACAAGGAATGCAAAAAAGCGCAGTTTGAGAGACAGCTCTGTGTTAACAGATGACTCAACCAAAACAAGCAAACAAAAAAGCTAACCTACCAGTTGTCATTGGAAACTAAACCTTACCAAAAGCTCATGGTTCGATCCATGGACAACATCTCTCTGCCTGTATTTATATGCTATTAACCCCCAAGATGGGCAAAGTCCAGTACCAAGAAAATTGAGCCCTGCATGTAGAGTGTGATTCTCCTCAGACTAATGTAAATCAAGAATAATTCAAATGGTACTCTGGGCTAAAATGGTGTGGGTGGAGAATCAGTTCCACAGGTTGGTATACTGAGGCAGCTGTTCCTAATAAACACCAGTCATTTCAGTCCAGGAGGACCCAGAGCAGCTAGTGCCTCATATATAACTGATGCTGAGGGGAATTTCAACATTATAGCTAGTGGTTTATCATGGAGCGAGAGCCCTGAACTTCTCCAGGTCACTGGCTAAGGGACCCCACTCAGTTCAGACTTGAAGGGGGGAGAGATATGATGAAGTGGGGGATTTGTGGAGGTTTGAAGGTGCAGGTGGAACTCAATGTCCCTGGGTGTTACTGATTTAAGGAGCTGAGTGGACAGGGAGTTTTATTGTTATAGGGACCAGCACAGAACTTGGGACCTCAGCCAGTAGCCTGGAACATGGAGACCCAGCTTGGCTGACACAGCCAGTTCTGGCTAGCAGGAGGACAGTAGACTGTGGAGAGAGGACCCCTGGTGACCTGACTAGCTGGTTCCAGCC